ATAACACAAAGCTGGAAATACTAGAAGAATGCATATATTTGGGGCAAGTAATACACAAACTACCAGAAATCAACCGAAGAATTATGTTAGCATGGAAGAAACTCAATCATATTCAAATCCAAAGTGCCACTTTAACTTTAACGTTGAATCTAAATAAGAAAACATTCGATCAATGTGTATTGCAATGTGTAGGCATGCGAAACATGGAAATTTAAAACGGGCATTATAATGAAACTGCAGGTCGCACAATGCTCAATGGAACGAAATATGCTGGAAATAAGCAAGAAAGACCGTAAAAGAATAGTGTGGATACGACAAATGACACAGGTAATAGATGTTATCCACAGAATCAAATCTTTCAAGCGGCAATGGGCAGGACACCTGGCAAGAAGGACGGACAACAGATGAACTACAAAAATTACAGCATGGTACCCTCGAGGAATTAAGAGACCTAGAGGAAGACCAAACCTGAGATGGGATCATGATATTAGGAAATTAGCAGAGATAACTTGGGCCCGCATAGCCCAATAATAGACCACCAATACGCCCAACTACAAAGGGAGAATCTAAATATGTTAGAGAGGCAGAGGAATATTTGGAAATGTTGAATAAGCTGATGAATGATAATGAATGAAGCGTTTTTATATTTATTTTCTGTGTTCATACGGCTTTGCACTTCGACATGTAACTCTGTTGACTCAATATATTCGTAACAGGTGACGTAACGTTGAATCTTTCGAACGACGCCAGTTTGATAATTTCGATTCTTTTAAATGTCCACGCTTTGGCACCATATAATAATTAGCATCGGAACATTCTTCTTCTTCTTTTAACTTTTTGTCTCCACTGCAAAAAAAATCTTGAGTTTTACAAGAGTTCTGGCTACCTCAATCTTTGATTTTACTTCTTGTAATCGTTCGGCATTTACTTATTTCTTATATTTTGTTCTTTTGTAATAACCATGAATTTTGAGTTCTTCACATTTATAGCTCAGGTAACATCTATTTTCTCTTTACTGTTTTTCAAATAAGTTCAAAATAGCTGAGATATTTTACTTTGAAGTTTTCTTTCTTGTAAATTTAATCTACTGCCTATGTTGCCATATTATGAATATATTATGTTTTTTTAACAAAAATTTAAAAAAAAATCGATTTTTTTTCAAAAAATTCTAAATTCTCCAAAAAAAAATGTTTTGCGAAAAAAACATCAAAGGCGTGTTTTTGGAATCCAAAAAATGTTAAAAATATTTGCACTTATTTAAGACCCACCCTGTATATTCTGATGTAGACTCTGCGTTAAGGCTCGTATTAAGAATATCTTGACGTTTAATATATTATTTGATTGTATTCATTTCTTTATCATTTTTAATATTAATTTTTATTATCTTTTTTTTTTATTTTTTATATTATAAAATCGTGAGTGAATTAGTTTCGGGAAGAAAACATATTATGCTGGGTTGGCGTTGGTTTCTATGTAATTTGACAAATAAATAAAGCTGTCTCTTTAGTTGTCAGTTTTGAGTCATTTTTTTTCTTCTCTTTCGTGTCGATTGCTGATTGAATTGGAGCCAGAAATGGCTCTAAACGAAATAAGTAAATTACGAACAGATATTCAGGCTGAGGCGACAAACGCCATATCCAAACTACTTCCATTTAAATCCCGAATAACTTACGAAAAGGAATACAAAAATTTTCAAAAAGGGAAGCAATTAAAAAACGTGCGAGAAGAAATAATTTTTTTAACCTATCCTCGCTGTTAAAGTATCAATTAATCTACCTTTGCGGTTACAGTACTATTTTATCTACTATTTTTGATATATATAAGGTAATTTTAACAGTTGCAATGGAAAAATATATTTAAATAAATTGAACTAAGTTCCATTCTGTTTTTACTCATACCAACTTCAATTCATTAGATCATATTCCATTGTAATGGAAAAAATTACGTGGCTCTAGGTATACCATGTAATAAATATGAAAATTAACTGTTCTAATCCTAGTTAATCATCAAGTTTCTTCTATTATGAAGAACTCCCCAAAAAATACGGTCCTGTTCATTGCCGAACGAACAGTCATCCATCCCCACTCCATCACGCCATGTAGCGAAACAGTGTTTTAATTAATTCTTTCATTATTTACAAGCTTTTTAATTACTCGAGTTGATTAAAATAAGCGCCATCAAAAAGTTGTCTCGGTGCTTAGAAATTAATTATTGCACGGCGACGGGCTTAAATAAACATCCGGAGGCGATGGTGTGAGGAGAGGGAGAGTAGAGAACGCGTCGCGACGCATTTTTGTAGGAGGATGGGCAGCGCCGACTGTCGGTTTATTTCGGTTGATGTAAATTTGTGAAGGGGGGAAATACAGGTAGAAAAAACAGGGCGAAAATAGAATAGAATCGTTGTTTTTCTGGTGAAGATGATTGAAGAATAACGCGGCATTTTAGGGACACAGTCTAAAGTCGTGTTGATTGTGATATTTTTAAACTATTAAATGCCATACAGAGTAGTAAAGTATTTTAAGTTAACGTCTCTTTTTTGCTGCTACGGCTAATCTGGACCGGGCCTACTTTTTTACGTGGAATCTGAACCGCGGTCCTCGGTCAATTGCCTACCGAATTGGCGAGTGTCTAATTGAACTTTAACTCGCAAGATATCCGATCCCATCCGGGCTCGAACCGACGTGAATGAGCAGTGTGTGTGTCATTAGGTTTTATACTCTTCACTCTTGCCATGGAACAACAGCACGAAAAAGTTTGCATACGGTCACCCGTCCCATCCACTATTACACAAAGAAACTTATATCCAGATATTCTAAGACAGATCTTTTTTTTTTGGGCTCACCTAGTTCTTGACATATCTTTACATTTTATGTGGTCTCTTCGCGCAAAAATATGTTCATATATTTGTCGTTAAAACATTTAAGCTGGATTTATAAACTAGGGAGTTGGCGTTCAGTTGAGGTTCAGTTGCAGTTGGATGTTCGCGACAGTTGAGGTTAAAAATTTTTGCATTTATAAACTGTCAGTTTTGGTAGTACGGATTGATTTGGAATTGTAAAAATTTGGAGCGTCTCTTGATTTAGAATTACTTTTGATATAGAAGTTGAAGCATAATAATTCAACATTGCGCAAAATATAAACAACATAAACAGAAATAATGTAACAACAAGGAGGGTCATTTTCCAATGCATCTCTTTTCTGTGCTTCACGTGATCGACATGCATTTACTCATTGGCTGCCGTTCCAACTGCCGAACGTCGCGAACTGCCGACTTAAATATTGACCATTTCTAAACTCCCCTAAACGTAAAACGAACTTCCAACTTTTCGACCAAATGACTTTATAAATGGGAGCATTCATTTCATAGTGTTGAACATTTTGAATGTCAACTGAACCTCAACTGAACTTGAATTACCGAGTTTATAAATTGAGTTTTATAATGTTAATTATACAAGATGCGTATAATTTTTATGACGATAAATTGGACTTTTTGAGTTGCAGATTGATTTCAATAGTAGTAAGCTCTATTTAATGAGCTTAATTGTATTTTACACCTCAATTTTAGTTTTTATTGTTATTTTTGTTAAACAATATCTTTTTTCATTTTCCTAACCAATATCTTTTTCATTTTCTTAACCAATATCTTTTTTCATTTTCTTTTTATTATTTTTGTGCACAATTTTATACTGGGTGTTTTAAAAAGATAATCACCTCTATAACTTTTTTATTTTTTAGATAAAAAAACAGATTTGGTATTATAGTACAACATATAGATTCACAGAAAACGACTATAACTTTTGCCATTTTCTCTTAAAAAATGTATTTAGAATTTTGACCATTTAAAAATGTATTTAAAAAAATTACTTTTTAAAATGTCAGTGTAGTGTCATGATAATAAATGTAACGACAATTTGACTCCAAATTCCAAGTATGTGGTACCAAAATATTCGTAAAAAAGGCTTTTCCTATACAGGGTGAGTCTTAAATAAGTGTAAACTTTTTCAGGGCTGGTAGATCTCGATAAAGGAAACATATTTCCTCTTTACCGTTTTTCAAATAGACCCAAAGTAACCGAGTTATTTTTGAAAATTTTCAAAAAAAATATTTTTTGCTAAAATTTTGAAAACCACTAAATTTTTTCTGGATTTTCTTTCTTGCAAATTTAATCTACTACCTATGACGCCATATTATCAACAAATAATTATGTTTTTTAACTAAAAAAATCTCCAAATTTTTTTCGCGAAAAAAACCTCATAATCGTGCTTCTGGGTCGAAATATGCTACCCCTCAAAAATATTTGCAGATATTTAAGATTCACCCTGTATATGCTGATAAGCCACCATCGTTTCATTTGAAAAAAATGAGTTATGATTAAAAACAAGATTAGGTCAACTTTTTAACCGACTAGAAAAAGACACCAAAAACATTAAACAATCAAATTTATTTTCCAAGGCTTCGTGATTAAAAATTTGTGGTTTTAACACAGCCATGGCACTCTAAATTGAAATTTAAAATATTACTTTTTTTTAATTGAAAATGTCAAAAGTTCACATATGATATAAGTTATATCATATAACATTCTATTAAGAATGTTATTGTCTATAAAATAAAGTAAAAAATTATTGATGGTACCATTTAAAAATAAAAAGTTGAAGTCATTTCCGGTGAAACGGGAAGTGACCAAAAACAAGTGAATACCGTCAATCAATCCCAATTTATGTCATATACTACCAAATCTCGTTTTTTATCTTAAAAAGTAAAAAAGTTATAAGGGTTAAGCACTTTTGAAAAACACTTGGTATGTAATATATAAAAAATTTTATATTGTATTATTTACCCTGTAACTGGCGTAAACTGTGTTGTAGAATAAATAAATACATATTTACTATTGTGCTAAAAGCCAAAATTATTCAGACCAGTTTAACGTTCTAGTTTTGAGCCATTATTACGATGTTGTATTCCTGTGACGGTAGAGATTTAATGTGACTCTGTATTTAATGGTCCCGCAGGTTGTTCGGCAGCTCGGGAGCCTGCTCGGCGTGCGGCCAGACCATTCCCGCCAGTGAGTTCGTGATGCGCAGCGGCGGCGGCGGCAACAATCCCTCGGCGCCGGGCGCGCCGCTCCACGTGTTCCACCTCAAGTGTTTCATGTGCAGCAAGTGTCTGGCGCCGCTCGTACCCGGAGATAGGTAAGTCGATTATCTTGTCATAGAATATTTGTATGTAGAGTAAGGTCATAGATTAAAGAACTGGTAAGTTAAAGCTCATTTGAGATTCAGTTTAGATGTGAGTGGTGTTTCTTTTTAAATAATATATTTTATAGGAGGGGGGTTAATCACCGCGACCTAATATATCTATTGCGTGTCCCCATTTCTTGAGTTATGACTTATCATACTGTCTCAGGGTTTTGATAAAAGCCGGTATCTGAGACTAGAGAGGCCTGCTCTCCATCTCTGACGTCAGCCGTACTAATATTCACACGAAGGGTTGTCGTCTTGTTTCCCCATTTTCCCCGCAGAATCTGCATTCCTCGTTGTTTCTCAGCTTTAATCTTAGAAACCCCGTGACAATCCGAAGATTGTTCTTACTTAAGTCAAGGGAAATCTTTGATTTTTCTCTTTGTATAAAGTTCTGAGAAACATTTTCGAGTATGTTAGACCGTTCGAGGATTCCCATTCCAGGTAACAGATGGAGTCTACTCCAGGTTCTTGAGTTCCGCTTTAAGTTCGTTTCCGCTTGGAAAGCAGAACGGTTCTAGTTCAGTTAGTGGAGCTCTTTCATTGCCTTCTATCCCTTGATGGGCGGGCACCCAGAGTAGGACTGCGACCTGCAAAGCCTATTGTGTTTGTCCCCTTTCTATGTTTTCATCTACCCTCCAATACCTGTACCCTGCAGGTTCTTGATAAGATGGGGCATAGTTCCTCCAGTTCTAGACTTGATTTCCCAAATCGAAAGTGTTGTTTACGATTTAAAGTTTCGCAGTGACATATTATGTGCTCCGCTGTTTGGATCTTTATCGAAGAGACTGCAGCAAAGATTTTCTTGATACAAGTTGAGCTTGAACAGGTGCACTTGACAGCCATATGTCCTGTCAAGAGACATATAATCCACACTTTATTCCTTCTAAGCATTAGCGGTTCTTTTATGGTTTTAGAGTTAGGTCCTTGCTATGCCTGTGTCCCTGTCTGTTTCTTCAGTGGCCATTTTGCTTTATTTTGCTTTTACCTAATGTAGAGTTTTACTGCACTACGGATTATATATTTGGGTATTCCCAATGCTGGGTCTGGACTAAGATAGGATTCCGATGATCTTTGAATTGCTAGTTCACCGACTTCTTCATTGACTTCTCGGCACCTAGAAAATCTTAAATCTGTTCTTTTCTGCCAGAGGTTCCAGTTAGTTCACCCAGACATTCCCAGACGAGTTTCGACGATACCTTTAGGCGCCTTAAGTGCCACCTCATTGTCTGAGGATATACTGATGAGTGTACCTGAGTAAGCTCTTCTGTGGTTTTCTGTCGAATAGCGAAAATTTCTGCCTACGGCTGTGTATTTACCCAGGGAAAAGGGTAAATTAGCCCTTGGCCTTTCCAGCTTCTTTTCCGTCTGCGGTCTCAGCCGGTCTGTATACCAGGTTAGTCCATCCTGAAGGAATGTTGTATCTGTCCACGTTCTTCGATTCATTTTATTCACTTTGAATGATTTGTGATAGTGTTAGAGAGTGCTAGGGCTTACTGGCTTATTAATCCAGCTTGAAGCTGTATCCTTTATTTGTTGTTGACCTTTATCAAATTTACCTTTATTCTAGTCGTAGAAACTTAAAATGTAATAATAGACAGGGTTACATTTAAAAAATAGAACTTATTTTTTATTTATTTGGGATACTCTGTACCTTTTGAAAATAATTTAAATTTTAGCTTTAGTAGTCCTACAACGATCCCCTAACTCACATTTTCTAAAAATCTAATGGTGTGGCTACAATACTCCGTATCGAATGAGGTGACTATATGATGTGACTATATGTGTATACGAGCTCAAGCTCATGGATTTAGCGAAACCTCCAATCGCAAACAAGGGGCTGTTGGAAAGCAATCGTGTCATTTATGACGCAGTTGCATTTTCTTTAGATGCTATTTTTTTATTCAACTTAAGTAATATAGGTATACTTGTTAATTAGGTTTGTGTGTCTTCGTTCAATTGATAAGGATTATTATAATTATAATTAAGGAATAAATAATTATTACAGATTTATTTTGATTTTCAAGTGTTTTCTGGTGTTAATTTCCCGAACGATTAGTGTCTAAGATGGACGTGTTACGTCATAACTGTCATTATTGTCCTGTAAATAAGTAACTTCCTCTATATTATTTACAAATTGAACCGCTATATATTATTTTACTGCTAGGCTAGTTAGCTAAGATATCTCGTGACCACCCACTGCCTCGCGAGTACCACAAATGACCGATGGCCACACTAGAACAAAACACGCAACGACCAGTATTAGCTCCCAACGTAACAAATAGCCCCTGCATCTATTGGAAAAACTGCTCACTGACTCTCGCGTTTATCACCCACCGTTACGAAATATACAGAGTGTGTTACCCAGACAGTATAGGGATAAAAGTGAACTATGACATGATTATTATATTTCAGAAATAATTTAATTTGACTTTCATTTGTAATTATACAAAACATTAAACTGATCAATCAAACTCATACATCTTTATTAATATTATTAGAATAAAATTTTTATTATTGCGTTAGCATATTGTTAAGATGTAGAAAATACACCTACATGTTATATTGAATAAATAAATTATCTTTTTGTGGTTCAATAGCTAAGACACTCGCCAAATCCGTAGGCAACAAAAAAATACGTTAAATTCACTTTGAACTTACTTGCCAAACACAGCCATGATTATATATTATTAGCCACAAATGTAACGATATACTTGCGCAAACTTAGACAATGTTCACGTGAAACGCACAATATTCTAGTACGATCAAAGACGGAGCAAGTATACTTCTGCGAAATCATACGCGATATCATTTTTGAAATAAGGAGTTTTGTTTGCGATAGGATGGATGATGACGATTGATGATGCTTTCGAAAAAATTGACTTAATATTTCATACAAAAAAAGAAAAAAACCTAGAAGGCACCGAACAATCTGATGTAAAGAGTAGTTAGTGAAAGAGGAAACTATTCACCTCATCATCAGTTCTTTTCGGTAGTTAGTTTAGGTCATTCATTTTTTTTAATACGGTTAAGCGGCCCATACATTATCAAACAAATTGCGCAACGCAGGCTGTTGCGCAACGAGTTGCCAATGTATGATAGTGTTTGATGCGTTGCGCAATTGTTTGATGAGTTTCAAGAATATTTGAATTCTTTTGTGCAACAGGACTGTTTGCTCAACGCGTTGTGTAGTGTATGTGTGTGTTGCGCTTCGTTGTGCAATATTTTAGTTCTTTCATCCAAATTCTTTGTTTTCTTTTCCGTTTTTTGGTATCATCGATATCATCTAGGGTATATACGATAATAATTAACGCAATGACAATTGAGGACATGATTGTTTCTCAAACAATGCACAACTTTTAATAAAAAGTTTGATCAAAATTTTACTAAGTGCATGGGTGAGGCAGTTGTGCAACGGAACGTTGCGCAACTTGTTTGATAGTGTATGGACCGCTGAATCAGTTGTGCAACGCAACGTTGCGCATCGCCTCGTTGCGCAATTTGTTTGATAATGTATGGGCCGCTTTAGGAATTTGTTCTAGTTTTTTATACTAATTGACTCATTTTTTGTATCTCTATTATGATATTTTTTGTTTTTATTTGCCAAAGACATGGTTTATTTCTGATTTCTTCCAAATTTTCCCGAACTCCGCGTGTGTACTTTACTTATAGTTAGCGGTAAACTAAACGTAAGAAGTGTATACAGGCAGGTGGTTAGGATACAGTAAACCTTCGAACGAGTATATGCCACATAGTTCAAATAAATTTACGCAAACCTAAACTTGCTCAAGTCTCGGAATGGAAAATTGAATTTTTTTTGATACTTGCACAGGTCTAGACATTGGCCTAAAATCTTCCAGCATAGGTTCCATTATACTTGCACAAGTCTTTTTTTTAGAAGAAAAAGTTTACGAAAGTATATTGTTACCTGTGTGGCTGATATAAATCAATTACACAGTTTTAATTATCTTATGGCAAAGATATTAAATATTGATGGAAGCTTTGGTGTTACTACACCAAATTCAAAACTGATCTACTACAAAATACCCTATTTTAAACTCTAGACGTGTTAGAGTAGACAGAAAATGGTAGACTAGAAAATATTAATATAATAAGCATGTAATTTAAGCCTATGAATGATTTGATAACATACTGAAAATTATCCAGTAAAAACATGAATCTCTGATCTAGTTAACCAGCTAATAGTGATTTTATATTTTTTCTATTAGTGTATGTTTCGAATAAATCACGTTTCATTCCTATTATACATAGTACTTACTTAAGATTGATTTAATAAATGCTTCCATAAAAAAATCATGTAATATAGGGATTTTTGTGGATAATATACTACATTATCGATAAATCTTAGTTGACTGCTGGATTAAATAATAATCACTCATAACTTCAGTCAAAACGTTTAATAAAAACTGATATAAATCGATTACTCAACTGACTTACATTGCTTTCTTTAGGCTTATCGATATATTTTTCATAAATAGATTTTATGAATAAAATAGAATATAATAATTGGGGAATTCAGTTCTTCGCTTGAAATACAATGGTTACATTTTAAAATGTCTGACCCATACAAAATTTAGATAGAATTTCTGTTTAAATATTATAAATATCCATCCAGCTGGTAATTAAGGCAAAGGGAGACTAAAAATATTCAATTAGCTGTCCTTCATGGTTGCAAAAAAAAATATCTCAAAACTATCTCAGTTTATGTCGCCAGTACATCCACGTTTTTTAATCAATTGAAGCCAGAATGGTCTAAGTCAAAAAATTTAAGAATACAAAATAAACTGACAAACAATACCATCTACTTTTATGCGAACATTTCAGTTGATCCCATTTTGTTACAATACCAAAGTTACAGTGTTAATATCTTATGTAAGTATTTAACAGTAAGCCGTTAACTTTGAAGCCACATAATAATATCTCAAAGCTACATTTTTTGACTTAGACCACCACAGCCCAAGTATCCCTGAATAATCTCTTGAATTTTAAAGTGTTTAGTAACCACCCTGTTGATATTAAACCGCGCTGCCGCATACATAATATTGAAGTGTTTATTACGTTCCAGGTACTACATGCTCGCGGGGAGCCTCGTCTGCGAGCAGGACTGGCACAAATTGCTCAAGAGTTCGGCGGCGGCGGCCCCCACGGTGCGAAAGGGCAAAGTGGGCCGGCCGCGCAGGAGTAGAGACTGAATAATGGATACCAACATCGATGCAGGTAATTGAAAACATTTATTTAATGGGAATACTAATAAATCGACCCGGCTTCCTAATATAACTTTACTTTTAATCAATTTGATTCGAATCGTCAAACCATAATTGATCCTATATTTATCATTGACCTGTAATACATAGATTATGTGGTATATACATAAATCAGTTTATACGTATGATGTAGTGACGGGAATACATAGAGATACAGATAGAATAGCGACCGTTCCAGAAAAATACCGCGACAAAATACCGCGATTTTGTAATCGAGGTTCCAACTTCCTAAGTGTCGCGGTCCTCGCTTATGTAGTATTTCTGGCATTGGTACCTACTTTTATTTTATACTACCTACCTAGTCCCACAAACCACTGTCAAAAAAATCTTTATTGGTGACCGGTTTCGGCAATTCCAGCCATCATCAGACCTTAAAAATAGATATAAACAATAAAACTTATATAAATGTATAAAAGCGAATAAAATTTTCATTTTATTTTATTTGTTTTTACGTTTCATCTTTCAAACAACGCTATTTTATACCATGCTTAGTACATACAAAAAATCGCTATTTCAAAAGTAACGTAGCGACAGGAGCACCAACGCCAATAGTACCAATCGCTACAGGCGAAAACGAAACCCTAGAAGCGCTCCAGCGACTGCTGGAACGAAGTAAGCCGCCTCCGAGGTTGACAGTCGATAGCCAGTTACAGCAGTTACTTCTGTTCGCGACAGGGAACTAAAACTCTAGGAGCGCGACGGCTGGAGCGAAGTAGGCCGCCGCGCCGCCGAGGTCGAGCGTCGATGCCCAGAGTTCCAGCAGTTGCGCGACAGGGAACTACAACTCTAGGAGCGCGACGGCTGGAGCGAACACGTCGCCATCGCCATCGAGATCGCCCGACGCTACGTACACTTCCAGTAACTATTGTAGGCGACCGACGAAATCGCGACGGCTGGAGCTAAACACGTCGCTATGCGGTTACGACGGTTCAAGCTAACTTCAAGAGCGATTATAAATAATTTATTTGCAAATTATAAATAATTTATAATTTTGTCGTCATTATGATCGTCGTTCTTCAGTAACAGGTTTCCCATTCGTTGTGGAGCGCGACACGGCGTTACAAAAAAATATCGCTCCAGAATCGCGTTACTCAAATACCGACACATCACTAGTATGATGTAGTGACATAAAATTGAAGACTTATTATTTTCTGGTTCTCAGAAGGGAAAATATTCGACATCAGTATTTGTTTAACCAAGTAATTTACCTCAATGGACTAATGACCCCAAAAACATTATGACAAGATTTGTCGTGATCTTAGTTTTGGAAAACGAAAAACTTGATCGCAAAATTACGAAGATTGAATAATGTCTATACCTTTGTGGGGGGTTTATTTCTTGAAAAAAATCCTAATAGAAGAATCTACCGTATGATCCAATAAAAACGGCGTCAGCGATGGCTGTGAAACTCAAATGTCATCGATGACATTTCCCATATAAATTTACATCTAAATGACAGCTATCTTAATTTCATAACCATCGCTGACGCCGTTTTCTTTTCGATCATACGGTATTATTAAGCATATTGCTAAACAAATGCCTTGGACTTATTAGATTGTATTGTATTCTACTTACGAAGAGTGAGTCACAGGTGGGACAATCCACTGCGTCCGCAAGGGCCTATTGTTGCTTAGTTCTCCATTTTTAAAATTGACCCTCAAGGTCCAACCTTTTAGTATAGGTTGTTATATATCTGATTTCACCAAGGTCTGATAAGTCTAGCATGGCCTTAGAATACCTCACCTGGTTTTGCTGCCAGCATTATGTGCTGCATAGTTTCTTCACTTTCCAAACAGAGTCTGCCATTCGGCGTTTTCCATCAGTTCCATCCTCTGGAGGTGTGATCTCAGTCTGCAGTGGCCCGTCTATACTACAGTGAACATAAGCGCACCATTTCCGCCGACCTTTAAGAGTTTTTCTGTTCTCTGTTTGAATGGCACTGCCGAGATTTCCTTTGCATTTCCATTCCGGGACTGTCGTTTCAGTAAGAGAGTCTTTAAGTTGTTGTCTTGCGAGATTTTTTGTGTGTCGGTTCTGGACTCACGAAGCCCTGGTATGATGTCCTGGTATACATATCAACGATACTTTATTCCTATCCCCTAGTAAATTGAGTAGTTTCCTAAAATGAGAATCGACATATACGGTGCATTTTGCTTTAAATGTGGATTGACTACCTGAAAATATATTTATTCTTTCCCGGTATACTGCCGTTCTACCAACATTTGCACACAAGTTTCAATAGCATATAACTCAGCTTAGAATTGTGAGGTTAGAACCATTTCATATTTTTGAAAAATATTCATAATCATCTAAATATTGCCATGCGTCATCAACAATTCTTTTAATAGCAACGCATACATCTACTTTATGTTTATTGAGGGAGTGTTTTCACCCATTGATCATTCATCTCACCTCATAGATCATCACCTCTTTTGTACTTAATAAGGTAAATGTTTAGATATTCGGTAATGCCTGTTTCAAAATAAATAGTTTAAAAATACCAGCAAAAGTCAAAGATAATACCGTTAAGGCTAAATTGGTATTTATGGAGAAAATGGTGGATAAACTACGATCCCAACAAATATGTAGGTTAGATTTTATAAAAGCTATGTCTTACCATTCTATAATACCAAATAAATTGTATTGTATTCAGATATTATTAATAAGTATTGTATTCAGATATTATTAATTTTAAAATATAAAATGTACATTATTTTTATTAAAATAAATATATAAATTAATTATGATATTTTATTTATTTCGCAGCTATATTTATTTGGTGTCGAATATACCTGTCAGATAAAAACGGAACTTGGGGCTGGTGTCGAAAATTGCCATTAAATTTTAGTCGCTACCTGCTTAGTGTCGAAATTTCCTCCGCCCTTATTCTTTCCCGGTATACTGCCGTTCTACCAACATTTGCACACAAGTTTCAATAGCATATAACTCAGCTTAGAATTGTGAGGTTAGAACCATTTCATATTTTTGAAAAATATTCATAATCATCTAAATATTGCCGTGCGTCATCAACAATTCTTTTAATAGCAATTTATACATTACTCGAAGTATTTGAGGGAGTGTTTTCACCCATTGATCATTCATCTCACCTCATAGATCATCACCTCTTTTGTACTTAATAAGGTAAATGTTTAGATATTCGGTAATGCCTGTTCTCCAATTTAGCCAGACTAATGAAGACTTTTAATTTCGATAGACAACTTTCAAAAATGAGAGAAGGTATTCTAATTCTTCTAATTTTTAATTAAAACAACAGATAACTTCAATGTCGTAATGTTTTTTCCTGTACGTATAATGATATATGGAGGTAATATACAGGGTGAGTCTTAAATAAATGCAAATATTTTTAGGACTGTTTGTGCTTGAAAGTACAATTTAAAAAAAAGACTATGAAAATAGGAAATAAACGAGAATTATTCACAAAGATTCTACAACAACACGAAATTATACAAATGAATAACTAACATTATGACAATTGTCAAATAATAAACGATAAAGTTACCGAACACGGCGCAATGTGATCAACATAGCGATAATAACTCTCTCAAGTAAAATGAAGAGTTGCTCGGTATCTTAAATTCTACAAAAAAATTAAACATTTTTGCCAAGATTTCATTTAGTCAGGTTTATAGTCTTTAGTGTCAATTTCGATATGATTGAGGACCTACATGGAAAATGTTTTGCGATTACCGTAGTTAGTGTTAAATAGGTATTTTTTAAAGATAAAGTTAAAGTCGGTTTATAAAATGATCTACTTTCAAAGATAAATTATTCACTTCATCGATCAATATTAATTTAATAAAAAATGGTATGTTGAAAACGAGGTTGAAAACTTATTAATGTGGGAGGAGGTACTCTTGCAACGAATCAATAATTATCATATGGGGAAAAAATAAAAACAATCTCGCAAATTCGCTTTTAATTTAACTTCCACCGTAGCCGCGAGCGCCGAGCGAATCGAATCGATACAGCGACCTCTATATACCTCTAATTAGCGAAAGCCCTCCTTTTTTTTCGCCATCGACCAAACAAAAGCTACATCTCGGTGATTAGGTGTGTTAAATTTTGATTTAATTAAAGCTTGTTACCGATATCTGACAATTACGAGGTATTGTGTCGTGGAGCCTTTGTCTTCCTAATTAGACAATCCCTTGTTGCGAGCCAGAAAGAGAGAGACGAGGACGGAGAGACGAGGACGACCATAGAGAAAGAAAATGAGAGGACGCGGCTAAAAATGGCAAAAGAGACCATAAAATATACAAACAAGGCCTCATTAGACCGAACCACCGTGGCATTTTAACAATGGTTCTATGGGTGATGAGGGGATATAGAGGGAGAGAGGAAAGAATGACGAACAGGCGTACAGATCTGCCGAATTCGCTAATTGACCAGCGATAGATTTTTTCTCCGGCACAGAACAGACTCTATCGTCTAATTAACGTCAAAATTTGGCATTACTGTCACGTAGATCGGAATCGGTCAGTCGGCTTGGTAGGTACCGGTAATGAGCCAATTTGGTGGGTTAGGTCGCCGAAATGGACGACCCTGTTTCACTTTATTTCGTAAAAGAAAATAAGTAAATAAAAGCGGATAGTTTTAAAGTATAATGCGGCTTGATCATTATTTTTAACCCATCTATCTGTTTAAATTCGGAATTGACGACCGAGATATCTAAAATATGTTCCTTGATTTAAGTAAGTACAATCTTCGGATTGTCACGAAGTTTTTAACAGGACACTGCCAATGAACACCTCAGTACACTGAAGCTAAGAAACAAAGGCGAATGCAGATTCTGTGGGGAAAATGGGGAAACACCAGAACACCTCGTCAATGAGTGGACCTAAAAGACAACCATTCATGCCATAAACTTTGGTACGACTGATACCGGAGATGGATGACTAACATCTGTAAAACAGTCTCAGATACTGGCTTTTG